ATCTATTGTGATTAAGTGGAACTGAAAATGATAAAATGGACGAAAATACCTTGTGATGTGTAGCATTTTTTGGATTTAAAGAAAGAAGGAGTTCATCTTGTTTGAGATATTCTACGTATTTTGGCCGTGATATGTGTGACTGCAAGAAATAAGAAGGTTTAAAAGTTAAATGAAGTCTTCGGTTTTGATCTTGTTTGCCTCAAAGTCAAATATCAATGAGTGGAACGTGACTCTTCCGTGAATTCAGAATGCCGTGGTATCCATTTTGTTCCAGTGGTTTCAATCGGTGTTGTGCTCGTTGTGGTTTACGTTTTTTTCTGGTCTTTAAGTGGTAATTATTAATTCTTTAGTTATGTGTCGTCGGTGTTTATTAAAAATGTTTGCTGTCACTGTTTTATATAGTAGGTGTAGGAAGTTTTTTTACAGCTTTTACCTTCTTGCTGTAATTTACTTCTTTTCCTGCTTTGCTGACGAGGGAAGTTTTTTGTATTTTTGCGGTTCCAGTAAATGTTTGGATAGAAAACTTTGTTATCGCATCGCAAAGGCGCATCTTTTTTTAGGCGATTCATACAACAAGGTTACTTTTAACCTGCTGTGTATTCTTGATTGGGCTTTAAATGGCCAAAAATACTGGTTGTTAATGAACTCTTTATTAGTAGCGAAAGAAAGGTTATGCAAAGTCTTTGTCGGAAGGGCTTTAAAGCTTTCCATGAAATAGTAGCTGCTGTCGGGCAATGATGAGTGTTGGGCTATGTACGGCTTGCAGTGTTGTTACTGTTAAATGAATTTTTTAAACAATGATGTATTTAGAATTTTTTCCGATCTGCTGAGAAAAAAATAGAACAGGTGAGACAATGAAGGGTTTAAACTGCTTATTCGTCCGGCGGCGGATAAAGCTGAAGGGATCAGAAAGTGCTGCAATGTTCCAGTCGTTTTTCATCTAGCTTATCTTTCAGGAAAAACTGTGCTATATAAGTTTATGATTTTGCTATTTGAACAGTTTATTTACCGACAGTCTCATCGAAGTAGCTTAGTTACGCAGCAAAGTCGCAGAACACTATTTAAAAAACAATGAGTTGTTAAAACCTGTGAAAACTTTGACTCTTTTAAACTGCCATATTTATAACAAAATTGGTCAGAAAAGTACGACCAGTAATTACTTTTTTTTATGAATTCATCGTTTGAGTAGTGACTGCTGAAAAATAGGAAATGAATTGATAACTCAGGTTTTTTTTTTTTTTAAATGGTGGAAGTCTGTAATGTCTAAGTGGTATTTGCAAATATTTTTTGGTAGTGACAAGTCAGAACAGTTGCTGTCCATAATTAAAGGTTTCTGCAAGTCAGATCTCTATAGTGGTAGTTTACAGTAACTCTTTGGTTGTGAGGTTTGAACGTAAGATAACAAGCACCGTGCGCCTAGGCGATTATCCATAATCGTAAGACGAGGTTGTCAAATGACGATTTTTCCTTGCTCTCGACTGATGAATCTGTTTGGCTCCTCTGCAGTATTGCCGCAGCAACACCCAAATAGCTTTAAATCAAAATCTAATGATTAAGTGCGTTCAAAGGTTTTTAAAAACAGCTTTGCGAGGTTCGAATTTACAGTTGCTTTCTGGAATTGTTTTCGCAGTTTTATTAATCTATTGAAGAACAGAACAGCTGTTCTAATTTTTTTTTGAATAAATAACTTTTTAGTGATTCTAAGATCATTTTGAAATAATTGCGGCAACAAATAACGTGCCTGTCTACTGTTTCGTTTTGTGCCATAAAGATAATCAGTTTTGCTTTGAAAATTTCAACTGAAAACGCTTACCTCGACCGTATTGATGATTTGACGATGAAAAGTTTACTTTTTTATAGAGCACTAGCAGAAAATTTTTTTCATCTGTTTTTAAAAATAATTTCAAAATTGTTAAACAATTATCTTTAAACTTATAACTAAATTGGTTGATTTGAAAGTATAAAAATCGCTATAGGTTCTTTTGATCTTTATCTTTAGTGCCGCTATGTGTCAATTAAGATAACCGTCATTCTCGCTTTGTTTGTCGGTTTAATAAGTCTAAAATAATATTTTTTTATTTTGTAACTGCACATGTGAATTAATAACGCATTTTCAGGCTTTTACATCAAAGCTGCAAAAATGAAAGGTTTGTTTGGTACTAACCGCTATTGTATTACTAACGAGGTTTTCAGTTTTTATAAGTCTACTCGTAATTACCGTACAAGTGTTCTGATGTTTAAAGTTTTTCAATTTTTCTTTTCAGCTACTGTGTTTTTATTTTTAGTCTCTATTACAATTCTCGTTGCTTTCGCCTACTTTGTAAATGGAGGTGAAATCGAACAGTCATCGTTCACTATTGACACCTCAGCACCAGTAAAGAAATATGAGAAATTTGTTGGAGAAAAACTTTATGTAAGCCGGTTTTCTCAGGATTACTGTTTGCCTAACGAAAGATTAACTTTATTCAAGTATTTAAATAATATTACTTTGAGCAGCGAATAAGGAAGTGTAAATTGCACACTATTTCAACTTAAACTGCTAGTGGTATGAGACGACCACACCTCGCAGATTAAGCTGATGCCTCAGAACGAAAGCATATTTAGTTGAAAAAATTTAGTTCTGTAAATAGAAATGAAAACTATGGTTGAACTGTGTAGTTGTATAAATGGTTAGCGGTTTCAGACTCTACCACTTGTAGTGAACCTTAAAACTCCTCTCTTAGAAGGACAAACGGTACATATACTTGGAAATGTCAATGCAGATCCTAAAAGGTGCTACTTGCTGTGAATAAATGCTTAGGCCTTCAGTAGTATTAATGCCCTTTCCGATTTCTTCTTCAAAAATATTGAAAAAATGTTTTGTTGTTTTATTACTTTCATGTTTCTAAACAGTGTCAAGTGAAAAACATTTTTCATAGTTTCAAAGCAGATGATTATAGAAAGAGATGAGTCATACAGCTGTTAGATTATTTTGAGACGAAATAAACGTTTTTTGCATTTACAAAGCATTGGTTTTTAGGATTACAGTGAATTTTGAAAATAACATAACTGAAGATGCTGACATACCTTTACACATTTCGGCACGTTGGGATGAAGGTAAGCCTGAGTGAAATGTAAAAATATATTTTTATTAAACTTTTAATGTACAGGTTTTTGAAGTAATTACAAGGAATGTAGGTAGGACGCTACTCAAACTTTTATTTTTTTGATGTAAATTCGACATTTGGGCGACGCATATGTCAACAAAGATTATGTATATTTTATTTTTTAAGTATCAGTGAACGATTGCTGCTACTTACTTCACATTCCGGATTCCTGGAAGCTTGGCTAAAAATTGACTTTGTTATGCAAGATAGACTGAATACCTTTTAGCGAATTGTTTAAAATTTTTAGCAATTTAGGCATCTTTTCTGGAAGTATGGTGTTCAATAACCGTAAAAATGGTGAGTGGGGTCAAGAAGAACAACGTCTTAAAAACCCTTTTAGCGCTGGAGGTGAATTCGACCTTCGTATCAGAGTCAACAACGAAAAGTTTGAGGTATTTTTCTGGAATGGTGGCTGTACTGTAACTGCCCGTAATTTTTGTAAAAGTAATGCATAATTTTTTAATTTTAAATCAACTTTTTTCTGGTGTATCTGACAATACAGTAAAACTTGCCAAGTAATTACTGAAAGAGAGCAAGCTAACAAGGTTAAAATTGTGAGTTTTCAGGTATTTGGTAACAGAGGATATCTTGGTTCGATAACTCAAAAAGCACCCCTTGATCAAGTATGTTTGCTAGAATTCTTGCTGAATTTTAAGAAAGTTTTTTTTGTCTCTTCTGCTCTTAAGAAGGAGTGTAAATTTTCAATATAATACTTTTTAAAGTAGAAATTAGTAAACGTTTTAAAAAGTATTCATGTACGCTGAGGTTCGAGTAATGCTTTAGATACGCTATATTCGTATTGATGGCGACCTCTCTGGGCTTAGGCTTGTGCATTATGGTGGCGTGGTCTTTAAACTTCCTTATTATGGTGCAGCAGCACTGACTCCTGGAAAACGTCTTGACATATCAGCCTGGCCGGGTTCGCCGCTTATTTAAACACTGGACTGAAAAACTAAGCAAATGAGTGCAATATCAGCAATTAATTAGAATAAACTTTATACAAATCTTACAGCGGGAAACAAGATCAATATTGAACTCCACAACAGCCAAAGGCAGCATGCTTTCCACATGTCTATTAGGTTCAATGAGGGTGCCATTGTCAGGAATGCAATGGTCGAAAATTCTTGGGGTCCAGAAGAACGTGGAGGCGGTTTTCCTCTCAGCAAAAACAAAGTGTAAGTCTCTCTAAAAAAAGAGTTGAGAAGCACACTGAAAATAATTAACGAAAATTTAGGTAACTGAAGGTATAAACTTTGGAAGATTTTTTTTCAGCACGTTAGAGACAAATATCTAAAACATCTAGAAAAGCTGTTTACTCTTTTTAAACAAAATCTTTTAGTGAGAATCTGGAAGCCTAGAAATATGCTGTGGAACTGGGAAAGGCGGCCAGATATATATATGCAGTATTCATTTTGCAGGTTTGATCTAACGCTTGTCAACGAGAACTATGGTTATCAAATCTACTTTAACGGACGCCATTTCGCTTCATTCGCCCACAGAGTGAGCCCAACAGATATTACTGTGCTCAAAATTGCTGGAGACTTGGAGCTTTACTCCGTCATGCTCAATGATGCCTAATGCGTAACAGAAGCTTAAATTTCAAGTTACTCTTTTCAAAGTATTCTTTGAACATTACTACGGAGAAGTAATAAAAATTCTTTTTTGTAAACTACATTTGAAAATGATTCACTATGAAAAGTTCGTGTGTTTAATACTTGGGACAAACAGCTGCTGATAATTGTAACTTCAGCGCTTTCAGCTTAACTATGGCAAAGTTTCTTTTCAACCAAAATGCCTGATTCAAAAAATTCATTCATAGAATAACAATAAGACAGACGTCAAGAAATTTAAGGTTTTATAAATGTTGAAAAGTTCAAACAGTTTTTTTGCAAATTCGTTTACCGTTAATTTAATCGTTCAAAAAAAAAAGCCAGAGAATTTTAAAGAGTTTTTAAACACTCTTTAAATTTCCTTGAAACTTCTCCTGTTAACCAGTGAAATATTATGAAAAGACTTAAGAGATCCAGCTTGTACCCAGTTTTCTAATTACAGCCACAAAATACGGCACAGCATTACTCGCATAATGCATTAGCAAACTCTGATTAAAAAAATAATTAAAAAAATAACCGTAACTTTTTAAGATAAGGTAATCAATTTTGAAGCAAATCAAGTGGTAAGGTGAAAAAAATTATTTCTTTTTCAAGGCTTAAAAATTCATGCTTTCTCCAGTAGCACTGTACAACTTTTGTATAGAGGAAAAGGGCTGGATGATTAATCTTCTGGCCTACACATTAAATTGTTTAACAACACTTGTTACCGTTAAAGAAATTATAAACTGAAAAAAAGCTGTTTTTATGGCCACTTTTCAGCAAATAAGTTTTAGTTCGTGAGAATTCATTGATTCATTAATTAAAGATATTACTTGCTTTGAATAAGCCCTTGAAGTAAAACAGGCTTTAATGATTAGAAAAATTTTTGGTCACTTCACGGAAATAAGCTCGCAAAACTGTGAACATAAACTCGCAGATCAACTGTGCTATCGAATATACTCTTTATAGAATGTGAGTGAATAAACAACAGCTCTTTGAAAGTCGGAGCGAAAGAATTACTTAAACAACCAAATAACATTCCAACGTGGCAACTTGCCATTTGGGAGATATTACCTGAAAGTAGTTATTATTATTTACAGAAAAGTTGATTGGTTTTCACAGTCAGTTTTTGAAACGAAATGCTTTACAGAAAATAATTAATGTCAAATTACAATTATTTGAATATTGAGTACGTAGTAGTCACTAAGACTAAGGTACATTCTCAGTAAAATTTTAATTGAAGTACGATTTTCTCAAATAAATTATATTAATGATCGCATTACTTGGGCTTGGCAAATTTTCAACAAAGTTGCACAAGTTTGTTTTGATAAAAGCTCGAAAATTCTAAAAACTGAATTGTACAACCTTCATACAGAAATTTTTTCTGATTATCTGCTTGCAGTTCTTTTCACTAGTTTAGCTGTTTAGACTTTCTAAAGTGAAGCTTTGAAAACGGCGAATTTTCAAATAAGAGTAGCAGATAGAATTTGAAATTTTAAACCGTCTAGAGGTATTGACAAAGCTCCTAAGAACGTCGCATTTCAGTTTCAATAGTCAGACTGGGGTATTACTTTTCCTGAATTATTGCTAGAATAATCGTTGTGATAAATTCTGATCTAATTCTCTTCAAATCTGATTAGATAAATTCGCAATTAATACAACTTTAAAACGTGCTGTTTTACATCATGTGATGACAACTGCGATCTTAACAACTTTATCAAATATATTAAGTCTCGAACAAAGTTATATGGGTTTATGCTTCTGAACAAAGTTTCTTTGCATTTCCTTCGTTGAATCGATAACTTGATCGTGCGAAAATCCTTCTTTTTTAACAAAACCGTTTCCTCCAACTATAGGACTCAGGAGTTTATGACAAGCGCGAAGACCTATCTAAAAAAATTTTTACTACTTTCACAAAGTAGAGTTGACATTACCACTGCAAGTGCTTTTTTCCCAGTTAGGAATGGTGTCGCTTAATGAAAGTTACGCATATAATTTACGATGCTCTTGATTCACCAACTTTCTCGTCATTTGTGGAGAATATACTGAAAATAAAGGCCCCTTCGTATCTCGTTTGATCGTTGATGTCTTTTAGAAATGTAGATTGACAATGTAGACCAGTTCGTTTATTGCAGGTGCCAACTGGAATTGGCATAAAACAGAGTGAACTGCCTTGATTTGCCCCGGCAACGCTCAGATAGGTGTCAATCAGCTCCGTTAATGGAGGCCCTTAAACTTTAAAACTAAGACTAAGATTTCTTCAAACAAATCATTAAAGTTGGCTTTGAGAGATTTGAAACAGGTAATTGAAGGCGGCTATTTGAAAGCTAAACAAACCTAAAATTTCTCTTGTATCCACACAGTTTCCGCCAAGGATGGCTTTACGAGCGATTGGGGATCCCATTGAATAAGCAATGACATCAACACGGGTGCCGGTATACTGACGAACAGCAATTATCATGCTCCTTAAGAAAATACGAGATAATTTTTGAGAACAACTAAGAATATGATTTCTTCTGGAAAGTGCACCTATATCAGCAGTGAACTTAAGTAAGCCTTGAAGAGTTCTACAGAGCAGAAGAATACTAAGATACCACTATTTGCTTTATTAAACCTTATTTGTTTAACGTAAGAGCATTTCATGTCCACCAATCCAGCAGGGGTAGCACCTGCGTCACCCCAAGTAGTACCATAGATTTCCGATCGTTTGTAGCCTTTTGAGAGGAAGTGGTTAACAGTATCCTAAATAAGGCTGGTTCATAAATAAAGATAGCAGTTAGACTTGCCGAAATTGAGAGTGAGCTATCCTAGAAATGAAATAAATCTTTCAAAGTTCAAAGATTAGTCTTAGGTCTAATTAAACAAGATTAACAAAATCACCAGCTACAAAATAAGAATATTGTTTCAACTGTTTGTACTCTTAACATTGAAAAGGAATAAGAACCAGTAAACTTACTTCAAACCTGCTTATTTTATTGGTGATCCCATGCACCAGTATAACTGCTTGATTAGTAAGTTCTTCACTGCCGTTTAACTTTCCCCCAAAACTTGCATCTAGTCCAAGATCAGAACGTTCAAGCATTTGAGCAATTCCAATGCCGTAATTATTGTGTAAATAAGCTCGAAAATGTGGTGTAAAGTCAGCTTGGACGAGGGAGATAAGAAAAAATATTATCAGCATATTTAGTACCTGTAAGATAATATTGGTAAGATTTTGCAGACCTAAATGGCGGCAACGAACAGTTCTTAGGCAACTGCTGGCTGCCATTCAAGTAGGTAGTTTGTGAAAGGCGGCAGACCAGCAACAATTGTCCTATTGTTTTGCAACATTTAAATATTATAACTCTCAAAAGTGTCCCAAATTGAAAGATACTTTCTTCAAAAATCAAACAGTTTGTAGCAAAAGAAGGAAATTTTAAAAATCCAGAGAACTAAAAATTTTGATTCTGTCGTTCAGTAATCTTATTGTTAAGACACTCAAATTGTAAATTTCAAGAAAAAATTTTATAATGTAACCGTAACAACACGTTTGTTTCAAGTAAAAAGTGTTTCATTACGACAAGTCTCAACCACATAATATGACTAAATTAATCGAGCTCTCTTGAATAAACTATCGAAAACCGGACTAACCCACCTGTTCACAAAGTTCACGAAAGCTACATACAGAATTTGGATATTCCAGTAGTAAGAAAGCTACTCCATCCTAAAAAGATAGAGTTTTTATAAAAAAAAACCATTAATACAATAAAAATAGTTGCTGGAATAATCCTCTAAGTCGGTTTCATCAACACATTTTAATATGTGAAGAAAGGTTGGCAAATCTTAAATTAAACAAAACAGACGTATAGGAAAAACGTTTTGAAAACAGCTTAGATGGGAACACATTGATTATGTAAGGCATCCAATGCATCCGTTCTGTCGATATAAGATCTTCTATTGGTCATATGTACGGCGTACACCAACCCAATTCTGGTTTTCCCGAAAACCGTTTTTTCTTTTAATTTCAGAGCAATGCCAAACTGCAGGCTCTGTTGGGTATAAAAACGAATTTTTTGCTGTACAATGCAATATTGTCAGGTAAAAATAAAACCAGCGAAATTGAGCAGTTTAATAATTACAAAGAAGAAAGTAAAAAAAAAAAAACAATTTCTGAAACTTCAAAAAATGGCGAAAAGCAGGTCTAAACACATATTTAGCTTTGAAGAAATGCGCATTTGAAAATACATTGTGAACAAATTGGCAAAACCATTTAAGTTTTAAAAGCGCGTGAAACTTAAAGTGTAAAAAAAAATTCAAATTGCTGTTTATATTGAACTTATTTGAAGAACTGTCATTACAATAAGTTTAGCTAATGTGAAAGTGAACAATGAATTTGGACCTCTGTCCACCTCAAAAACAGAGGATCATTTTATTCCAACCAGTGCAAACAGTTTTCATCTTTTGAAAGACTTCTCTTTATTTTTTAATCTGCATTTAGCAAAAATCTATCAATTTGTCTACTTTTGTAATTTAATCTTTACTTCTGAGCTTCTTATATACGAAAAAGAGAAATAGAAAATGAGATATGAAGCACAAGATTTCTCTAATAGCGTTTTCCAGGTCCAAATTCTTGACATTTGCACACAAGTGTTGTTATAATGCTGATCTAAAACGTCAGCTGAACTTCAGAAAGCATCAGTAGACCATAACTTCATAGCAGAAATTTAACACTTTTGTACCTTGATTCAGCTCTGTTTTCTTGACATTATTATGATGCCTTTCTGCTTTATTTGTAAGAAAAAACGTTGTTAAGAATTCTAAACACTGGGCAAAAAGCATCTCCTCTCCCTCCCCATCATTCCAAGCCGAGGAAAACCACTGAAACTGATTTGAAAAAGTGGTGACATTTGTTTTGAGTTTCAATTATGAATTATCGGTAGGTTAGTGGCTCCCTATACTAGAAATAGAGTTTCAAGCAAACTAATCTACTTGCCCATTTTAATAATTAGAACCAGAAGTGGCTAAATCAGAATATTCGACTAAATACGTAAAGCATCGTTTAAAACATGACATGTCAAAGAATCTGTTGAGTAGAACAATATTAAAGTGCAGTAAGGGTTGCTGTGCTGAAGGGATTCTGCTAATAATGTGAAAATTGTAACTTCTCGAGGCAAAAGGAGTGGAACTAAAGTGGAGGCCTAACAGATTCATACTGTCAGTCTTAAGTTGGTTGAGTGCATAAATTTTAAAAATTTATTTTGCTTTACATTTAGGGTTTATCAATGGTCAAGTAAGCGCCTTTGTGGAACAGTGCTTCAGTTTAAAAACAGCATTTATTCTGCAGCTATAACGTATGGGAACCTCCTAACTGTCCCAGAACGCAGCTTATCAATTTTTGGTAATAAGAACTCGCAAATCTTTTGGTTACAGCAACACAATTCTTAAAAAAATTTGTGCAGATTTTCAAAACTACGCAGCCTTTCGGCGTTCTGGACATTACTAAACCGTTGGATTTTTCCAAATCACTGCCCCTCATCAACGATTCGAATACCATATTTGTAACTGCAATACTACTACTATCGAGAAGCAGTGAGCGTGAATTCGCGCAATGTCATTACAACCAGGAACTCTTCTTCTTCCTAGCAGAAACGGTGGTGCATGAAATATTTTCGAACCCCATAACTGCCGCTGATATGCTTTGGTTAGAAGTGTTCGTCGTAGCTTACTGACCGCAGTATTCGATGAACACTCTTTACTTCTAAATAAGTTTCTTTTCTGCATTCCCACTACATCTCTTTATTCGATTGGCTGAAGACAAGATTTACTGGAATAAGACCTTCTAGGTCGCCAACGTTCTACAGTGCAAATTAAAATAACTTTTAAGAATTCAAGTATACTTACCCTGTACAAGTCTTTAAAAAATAAAAACTGATTATCATCTTACTTCAACAGTAAGCACTCTGATCCTTCGCACAACTGAAGACTTTTGCGCTCAAAGCACTTTGAAGTTATGGCACTTCCAAAGAAAAAAAACCTTTCCTTCAATCAGTTACCCAAAGATGACGACAAATATTTCAGATATCGTCCAGGCGTTGTCACATCAAAATCGTACGAAACTTGAAACATCAGCTAACAGTATTGTTTAGCGGGCAATTAATTTTAATTGACCTTATTATCCACAAAAATCGAAGGAAGTCCCAGTTTGTCGGCGAAAGTTCTTTTAGCCTTCTCACAACCGTCATTTCATTCTTAATCATTTTTATGCAGAACAATTACCAGCATCTTGCATGTACTTCAATCAAAATTTCACTAAGATCAAAATACATGAAAAAGTCTGCTTCAGAAGCGACGGACTCTTAAATTCCTACTCATTACCGATTAGACAAATTATATTTAAAAAAAAAATGTTCAGAAAAACAATAAATTCGCGGGTATCCTCAATCGGCTTAGCAGTCCAGTCGTAGCCCTTGGCGTCCAATAGCCGCACAGCATGGCAAAGATCCGTATCCTGCAACAAGTCCGAGATCAGTGAAGAAAATGAGCTAACTAAAATGTTCTTAACATGGTTTTAAGTGTCACTCCATAACGTAGTACCAATTTCAAAACGTATGTAATACCGCGGAGGAACGATTTAGGGCACAGCTTAGACAGTTTCTACACAAGCACAAACTGCTCTGTATATGCCCGTTAAAAAAAAAAAAA